GCATTGGAAATCAAGGGAATGGGCGGCATGACGGGTTCGTAGCTCATGACGGGGTGCTGGGAGGTCGGGCGCCCAGGGGAAAACCAACCCCAAGCGAAACGAATGCGCGAGACAAGCACTTGCCACGTCGCTACTTGGCTGGAGCTCCCCAGTTCCGCGACGGGTGCCAACACCAGGCGCTGACCAGTCTCGTCCCATAAACAACTCCGCACGCACCAATCTGGAGGCCTCGCCCGAAGACAATTAAGAAGCCACCCCCACATCATAACCTCTGTCGCTAAGTACGCCTCAGCCACGACGTCTCTCACTCGCCTCACGGTCCTGGGGTCGCAAGACCAAGTGCGGGCGAGAGTTTTGTGGCATGGCGTCTTCTCCAACAGCAGTTCCGTCATTTGCTTAACAGTGAAACGCTGCCGACCTTTCAAAGCCAAACCAATCACAATGCTCAAATCGCCCTGCTTGTTGCTGCTCTGAAAATTTATGGCCGCCCTCACATTGACCTGGGAATGGTTAAGAATAAACGTAACATTGTCTGCGTGTCTGTCCACAGCCCGTTGGGTGATACTGATGGCCCTCCGCAAATGCATCATCTGGCTATTGCGCCTCCACTCCTCGTGGGTCCGTCGAGACGGGTGTTTGAAACGCTGATTCTTTGAATGATTCGGGATGCGAACCGCAGCCTTTTTCACAGGAATCGTTTTCTGTCTCTGCGGGTCATTGGCCCTGGCCCTGGCTGGAACGCGTGAACGAGCAACAATTCTGCTTTCAACATCTGGCGCGGGCACGCCGGCGACGGCCTCGTCGCCGAGGCGATCTGCAAGGAAACTCATGCATGTGCAGCCACAAATTATTCGTGCCGAGTGTCTATAGCTGCTCGACCAATGGACAGGGACAGGACGCAATACGTCTCCAAGACGGCCCAAGAAGGCGCCAAGGCTGCCCAATACGTCTCTAAGACGGACCAATACGTCTCCAAGACGGCCTCCAAGACGGCCCAATACGTCTCCGAGACGGCCCAAGAGGCCCAATACGCTCCAGACGGTTTATGATGATGATAATGATGATGATGTATGCTACGTACGTCGATTGCTCGATCGGGATACGGGCGAGCGGGATAAACAACCCGTCAATGACTTCATGACGCTATGATGCGGGGATGCGTCGCCACGGCCGCGGGGGGAGGGGGGCAGCCGTTGCGACTGAGCCTGAGGAAGGAGGAAGAAGGAGTGGAAGGAGGATGAGGAGGGCAACTTGATTTTATCAGAACGTACTTAACGTACTTACAAGAGCCCCTCGTCCGACGTGGCGTTTTGGCCCGCATTGGCCGCATTTCGACTCATGCTCTCATATCAACAAGATAGCAACATAACGGGGAAGTGCAAATTCTACGTGTTGCGAAACTGGAGTGTTACAAAAAGGCTGTTTGTTGCAAAACCGCGGTTTTGCAACAAGCCCTTTGTTGCAAGTTGGCCTTGTTGCCATTACAATAGGAATCCTTTATTCATTGCAAACCACGATATTCTATCATCTGCGCCACCCTCAAAAAACACCAGTTCTGCTTCGTTGATCATGGAAGCCCGTGCAACTCTCAGAAAAGATTGAAACGAATGTGCGCGGCGGCAAGGCGAGAACCACATTTTGAAAACCACTCGCCCTCACTCCGTGAAACCATTGCACCTGTTTAAAGCGAATGTGCGAGGCGCTAAGGCGAGAGCCACATTTTGAAAACCACACGCCCTCTACTCTGTGAAACTGTTGCCCCCTTTTGAGCTTCAGAGTCATAAGTGGTGAGACGTCTCAGGCGAAAAGCCTGGCCCGCCCCAAAAACTGGCCTCGGGGTGCGAAGGGAGAAATTATTCCCCAATCCGAACTTCACTCTGTAGGGGTCCGAGCGGACTCATATGGCTACGTGAGATATGGCACCAATTTCGGCGGCCCGCCTGGGTGCCGGGGTGCCCGGGTGCCCCGTTGCCCGGGAGCCCCAGTGCCCGGGTGCCTGGGTGCCCGGGTGCCCGGATGCTCGGGTGCCCAGATGCCCGGGTGCCCGGGTGCCCGGTAGCGCTATAGCCCTTTAGCCCCATAGCCCTAAAGGCCTACAGCCTTGAAACCCTATCGCCCTATAGCCATAACATGCCTATAGCCCTATAGCCCTCCTTATAGCCCTATAGCTCTATAGCGCTATGGCCCTATAGCCATATAGCCCGATAGCCCTATAGTCCTATAGCCTTACAGCTTCATAGACCTATAGCCTGATAGCCCGTAGCCCTGTAGCCCTATAGCCCTAAAGCCCTCAAGCCAAATAGCCCTATAGCCTTACAGCCCTATAATCTTACAGCCCTATAGTCATATAGCCCTTTAGCCCCATAGCTCTGCAGCTTTATAGCCCTATAGCCCTATAGCCCCATAGTCTTATAGCCATGTAGCCTTTTAGCCTTATAGCCAAATCGCCCTATAGCCCTAAAGCCCTAACAGTATTTTGATTGTATTTTCTTCGGTACCATGTATAAGGAAAAATAACGGAGGACGAGGAGGAGGGGGAGGAGGAGGAGGAGGAGCTCCCGAACGAAGTAAACCTCACCCTCCCCTCAGAAATCGTGGGGTAGGATTCGCATGTGGCCCTCTAAGGGGAAGGAGGTTAAAAGAAGGAGGAGGAGGAAGAGGAGGAGGAGGAGACAGGGGACCACATGCGAACCCTACCCCGACCCCCCACGATTTCTGAGGGGGAGGGTGGGGCTCACTTCGCTCTGTAGTTCCCGAACGAAGTGAACCCCACCCTCCCCCTCAGAAATCGTGGGTGGTAGGGGGTAGGGTTCGCATATGGCCGCCTAGGAGGAGGATGAGGAGGAGGAGGAGGAGGAGGAGGAGGCGGAGGAGGAGGAGTACAGTCGGTCTAACGTCAAAGGGACGAGGAGGAGGGGGAGGAGGAGGAGGAGGAGGAGGAGGGAGGAGGAGGAGGAGCAGGAGGAGCAGGAGGAGGAGGAGGACCGGGGCTGGCGAGCCCCGCGGGCGGCGAGGCGCTCGTGCGGGCCGCCTCTCCGGGCCCGCCCGGCGGAGGGCCCGAGAGTGCATCTTGTCCCCCGTGGCCGCAGGCGACCCGAGGAGGGGGAGGTGGGGGAGAAGGAGATGGAGGAGGAGGTGGAGAACGGGGAGGGGGAGGAGGAGATGGAGGAGGAGATGGAGGGGGAGGGGGAGGAGATGGAGGAGGGGGAGGACGATGAGGGAGGAAGAGGAGGAGTAGGAGGAGTAGAGTAGTAGTAGTAGTAGTAGTAGTAGTAGTTAGTAGTAGTAGTAGTAGTAGTAGTAGTAGTAGTAGTAGTAGTAGTAGTAGTAGTAGTAGTAGTAGTAGTAGTAGTAGTAGTAGTAGTAGTAGTAGTAGTAGTAGTAGTAGTAGTAGTAGTAGTAGTAGTAGTAGTAGTAGTAGTAGTAGTAGTAGTAGTAGTAGTAGTAGTAGTAGTAGTAGTAGTAGTAGTAGTAGTAGTAGTAGTAGTAGTAGTAGTAGTAGTAGTAGTAGTAGTAGTAGTAGTGGTAGTAGTAGTAGTAGTAGTAGTAGTAGGAGGAGGAGGAGGAGGAGGAGGGATCGCCTAAGCCCGTCGGAAAAAAACCTCCACCCGAGAGGGCGAGCCGCGCGCGACGAGGAGGTCGAGGCCCATGCCGCCGTGGGCGCCCGAGCACTTGCGCCATGGGTCGCCCCAAGCAGTGTCTATCGGTTTCGTTCCGATTTCGTTTTCCCTCGTTTTGTCTTCGATCTCCATCGTTTCCCTCGCTTGTCCCTCGCTCTGTCTCCGATCCGCCTTTGCTGCAGACCGAAATCGAAACGAACACGGCCCACGAAAGCACCAGAGCACCGCTTTAGATCGACCCATGGTCGAGACCCGTGCCGTGTGCGCCCGATCACATGCGCTCTGACAGCCGGCGCTCGGCCCTGCAGGCCGCCAGTGCGCCTAGGCGGTCAAGGACTTGCGGGGGGCTGAGCTGGTGGCCTGCCGCAGAGGTCTCGGGGAGACGCAAGCCTCGAGTCGTACTTTGTCGAGCAGGGCCGTCAGAGATATCTGGCGCGGAGATCCTCACGCGTTCATCTCAGTTTCTATCCCTCTTCGAACACCCTGGCGTGAGGACGTCTGAGCGCGTGTAAGACTGAGTATGTTCGGGGGGACAAAAAGCGGGGACAGCAAAGGGTAGGGAAGATAATCAGCTCACGTAGCTGATTTTCCCAGCACCTCCCGGCGCCCAGAGGCGCCCATGCATTGAGGAGGGATGGGCCCGGCGGCGGGGCCGAGACCAGCTGCATGCAGCAGATGTCGTGACCCCCCCTTTCTCTATCACCGCCTTTCGTTCGGCCCAGTACGTGCAAATCCAAGAATGAGCGCTCCTCGTTCCTTCTCCTTGCCGTCGCTGGGACGTCCATTTCCCGTGCATTTGTTGGTGTTGTGCGTGTTTCTTGCTCGATGGTCCAGGATGGTCCTCGATGGTTCTCGCCGAGAAACCAATGCACACGTCCAAGCAAGGAGGAGGAGGATGAGGAGGAGGAGGAGGGAGGAGGGAGGGGGAGGCGGAGGAGGAGGGGAGGAGGAGGAGGAGGAGGAGGAGGAGGAGGAGGAGGAGGAGGAGGAGGAGGAGGAGGAGGAGGAGGGGGAGGGGGAGGAGGAGGAGGAGGAGGAGGAGGAGGAGGAGGAGGAGGAGGAGGAGGAGGAGGAGAAGGAGGAGGAGGAGGACGAGGAGGAGGAGGAGGAGGAAAAGGAGGAGGACGGAGGAGGGGGGGGAGGAGAAGGAGGAGGAGGAGGAGGAGGAGTAGGAGGAGGAGGAGGAGGAGGAGGAGGCGGAGGAGGAGGAGGAGGAGGAGGAGGAGGAGGAGGAGAGGAGGAGGAGAGGAGGAGGAGGAGGAGGGGGAGGAGGAGGAGGAGGAGGAGCAGGAGGAGGAGGAGGAGGAGGAGGAGCAGGAGGAGGAGGAGGAGAAGGAGGAGGAGGAGGAGGAGGAGGAGGAGGAGAGGGGCCCCCGACACTCAGACTCGCTCGTGCCAGACGCGCATGGACACGGACTTTGCCAGCACTGGGATGCACGTCTGGGCGGCTGGTGCCGCAGACGGCCGCACATGCTGCGCACGAGCAGGCTCGTGGTCTGACCCCCGCGGGCGGCTCCTGAGCCCGGCAGGAGGCTCGGCGGTGCGATCCGCACGACGCCCCCGCAGTCCGAGCGCGAACAGACCCGTGGTGCAACCCCTGGTGGCTCCCCTCTGTGCCGCCCGTGTGCCATACGCCATGCCTTTGCCTTCGAGGATCGAAGGAGGTGCCATCGCTTCCGCGGCGGAAAGGCGGCGGAAGGGCGGCGGAAGACGGCAGAAGGAAAAAGGCGGCGGCTCCGCCGGCTGAAGGCGGCGGAAGCTCGGCAGAAGCCAAAGTCGACCTCCCAAGAGACGACCACAATTCTGGGTTCAGGATTTCTGGAACTCGACACGTGCCCCGAGGTACGCCGCGGGGCGTCCTCGGGAACCTTCGAGTCGCCTGTACAATTGTGATGCTTCTCATGGGGCCCGCAGCCCTGAATGCTGGGCACTCGTCTGGAGGCCTCCTGGATGTGGTCCGAGTAGAGTGGGTCGGATGATTACACCGCCTCGCCGATGTATCGGCGATGTATCGCCGCTGCATCGGCGATGCACCAACGACGCCGGCGATGATGCATCAGAGCTATCGGCGTGGAGAACATCGGGCTCCACATCGAGTCGCATCGGCGATGCATCGGCGATGCGGCTCGATCCTCTGACCTCGTCTACTCCGACCCCATCTGGCAGCCCTAGATCTTTGACGCTTCTAAGCTTGCCGCGGACTGTAGCGCGTTCCTGCGTGACTTTGTTTTTTTACCGAAGGCACGAGCGGTGATCTTTGGCCCACGAGAACAAACGAGTCCGAGAGGCAAACGCGAGCGTTTCGCTTGAGACGCCCCCATAATCTGAGCGCGAATGGGCATGTGATGCAAGGCCTGTCGACCATTGGGAGATTTAAACGCAGTGCCTGCAATATCGCGAGTGGCGCATGGGCAAAAATCAACGCTATTGCCAAGGTTTCTTGCTTGGCATTTGCATTAGGAGGGCTCCTAGGACGACCTGGAATCTCCAATGGGAAGCTCGCAGGGAGCCCCAGGACTGCTGTGGGAGGAATGTACTGGGAAGCCCTGCGAAACCCCTGCGACATTCGTGGGAAACTCCAGGGAGATCCCGGGAGTCTCCAGAAACCGTCTCGGGGACCTCTTGTGCCGTCTTGAGCAGGCCATGGCGGTCTGGGAGGGCCTCTTTGTATCGCTTCGAGCACGCCTGCGGCCATCTTCACTCACCTCGTGGAAGAACTACCCTTCCCCGGAGGCCGAAAACATTCCCCACACCCTGGGGGCTCATTTCGATACCCGGGGGGGGTAGTTGAAAAAAGTGTAAGGCTTCGCGTCCTGAGGCCCCGGACACCAATTAGATTGCCTGCATCATCATCATCATCATCATCATCATCATCATCATCATCATCATCATCATCATCATCATCATCATCATCATCATCATCAGCAGCATCAGCATCAGCATCAGCATCATCATCAGCATCATCATCCATCCTGATCCTGATCTTGACTTCGATACGGATCCTGATCCGGATCCTTATTATAAACCTGATTATGATCCTTTATCTTGGTCTTGAGCCTGACCATGATCCTGACCCTGATCCTGATGCTGCTGCTGATCATGATCCTCATCATCATCACCACCACCATCAGAATCACCACCAACAGCAGCAGCGGCGTCAGTAGAATGAGTATCATCATCGTCATTATCACCACCCTCATCAGCATCATAGCATCATCGTCAGCAGCATCATCATGCATAGCATCAGTATCGTTATCATCATCCTCATCACCACCACCACCACCATTGTCATCAAAATCATCATCAGCATCATCATCATCAGAATCGTCATCGTCATCGTCATCACCACCACCATAACTACTACCATCACCATCACCATCGCAACATCACCATCGCCATCACCATCACCTTCACCATCATCATCATCATCACCATCACTATCACCATCGCCATCATCACCACCATCACCACCACCACCACCACCATCCCCACCACCATCCCCATCCCCATCCCCATCAACATTCCCAGCATCATCATGGTCATCATGATCAACATCATCAACAGCATAACCACCACCAGCATCTCCAGCATCATACTCCTCCTCCTCCTCCTCATCCCCTCCACCCTCATCACCATACAAATTATCAACAAGAATGTCATCAACATCAACATCAACATCGACATCATCAGCATCATCATCATCATCATCATCATCAGTATCAGTATCAGTATCATCATCATTGCCCACATTGTTCACGTGTGCTCACCAGTGTTGCCTTGCTTTCATTCTGCCACCGTGCCTGGGTCGTTCGTCAGAAGCCTCGTCAATGCCTGTTGGTATCTCTTGGGAATCCTCTGGGCGATCGCTTGGAGACAGTCCTGTAGCTTCTTCGGGAGTGATTCGGGGCCTTTACGGGGGTCTCTGGTAGGCATGGGAGCCTCGTGGGTCCTCGTAGTGGGAGTCTTGGGGGCATCCTGGCGGTTAGAGGGTCCGCTCGGGTCGGAGGCCTCCAAATCTCAGTCGGAGGTCTCCTCTGTGGCCGCTCTAGGGGCCTTGTTGGGTCCGTCGTTGGCGGTCTTGGGCGCATCCTGGGCTCCCTTGGGGCCCTTGGGCCGTCATAGCGCCCTCTTGGGTTGTCTTGGAGCGGTCCTGGGGGCCTCTTGGGCCAGAGACAAGACTCGCGTCCCGCACCCCCGCCTACTTCGGCACACCTCTCACACGGATCGTCTCCCACAAGGATCTCCACCCACGGCCCCAGAGGCAAGGTCCGCACTGCGCCCCCCTCCCCTCGCCCCTGGCCGTTGCGGCACGCCCCATCACGCGGATCGTGCCCACAAAGAGCACCACCGAACGGCCCAGAAGCAAACCTCGTATAACGCCCTCCCGACCATGACGGCACACCCGTCAAGCGAGTCCTGCCCCAGAAGGAGCTCCACCTACAACACCGACGGGCAGCTTCGCATGGCGCTTCCCCCGCCTCCTTCGGCACATACCTCGCACGGGTCGTGTCTGGAGGTCCACGAGCGGCCTCAGCGGGCGTGCCCGCGCGGGGCCATCTGAAATATTCAGCACACTTTTCATGCAAATCGTGCTGCCCCACAGATATCACCGCACCCGTGCACACGTGCTCCGCAACTGCTATCTTTCCGCATTGGCCCGCGGAGCGTAGTGTATTAAGAGAGACCCGCGCCCTGCGCTACACATGACTGCATAGGGATGGGCCCGTCGCCAAACAATATGTTTGCTTCTGGAATGAAACAAAGCTGGCCTACTATAAGGCCCTCTCAGGGCGCCTTTCGTGGAACCTCATTGGGGCCTCTTGAGCCGTCTTATTCGGGCGCCGTCGACCCTGTCAGGTCGCTCTGGTCGCTTGTTGGTGGCCTCCAGCGCTCTTGGCTCGACGGGGCGAGACCCAGGAGGCCCCGAAGGGATCAACCATGGCAAGGGCCAAGGAGGGGGAACTCCGGGAGGATGCCTGAGCATGCACATATACACGCATACATGCATGCCTGCATGCATACATGCATACACACATATTTGCACACGTATATACGATTGCGACTGTATACGTATATATCTATATATATATATATATAGTTTATGCATGTACTCACACACATGTACACATGCATGCAGACATGCGTTCATGCATACATACATACATACCTGCATACCTGCATACTAACATGCAAGCAACAACACGCACACCATCACACCTACATACAACCATACAGACATACATACATGCACGCATACAGTCATACATCCATGCATAAATCCATTACCGCTTACTTACTTACAGACACACATGCACACTGCAAACCAGTCATATATGTATACAAACATACACCCTTACATACATGCATGCATACCTACACATACATGCATACTTACCTGCATGCGTGTATGGATTAAGATACATACACACGTGTATACACATACACGCACGTATGCATACATACATACATACATGCATACGATTATGCATACAAACAAATAGACATGCACATATACGCCGATGCATACACACATCTGTACATGCATGCTGTCATGCATGCATGTATGCACGCGTGCATGCATACACACATGTATGCATACATACGTATGCATATATGCATGCATACACACACTTACACACGCATACATACACACATACATACAAACACGCATACACACATTCGCACATACATGCAGACACACTGACAGACAGACAGACAGACAGAAGTACATACACACATACATGTATGTATGCATGCATGCATGCATGCATACATACAGACATCCATACGAGAGATCGCGTTTCACGGGCGCTTTCCTTGGGAATATTCGGCGGCGCGTTTCGAACTGGGGGGTGGCCCCCCAACAGTCGGCGCCGTCGATCAGAACCAGGGGGACTCCCCTCTCCCTAACCACCCCCGTCCCCAACACCCTTCCCCTCCCAAGAGGGGGGGTTCAACTCCCCCCCGGGAAAGGAGTAAGGGTTCTAACTCCTCCCATCTTTGCTCTTCCGGCTTCCTTGGGGTGGGGAGCACCCACCCCCTCATCCCTTGGTGCCGGAGCTGGCGCCTGCGCTGGTGGCGACTAGCAGCACCAACGGCAAAACGCAGCGACGATGACCAGTGAGAGCCCATAGGCCGCAGCGGGAAAATACAAATCGCCATATCGAGCCCCCGCTCGCCAAAAGCCACCCGGTGCCCTCAGAAAGTTCCAGGTGACGCCCAAGAGGTGCCCAGGAGCCCTCACACATGCTCCTCAGACGCCACCGAGACCCCTCTGACGAGAGCCAACGAGGCATCCATTAGAACTGTGACCCAAGGTCGAGGCACGGTGGCGGGAAAACCCAGAGACCGCACCACCACCAACAACCCATCTACCGTGACAAACAACCACACCACCACCACCGCCACCACCACCACCACAACCACCACAAACACCACCACCACCACAAACTACTACAACAAACACCACCAAAACCGCCACCACCACCACCACCACCCACCACACCCACAATAACCACCACCGTAAATCACCACCACCCCACCACCACCACCATCACCACCACCACCGCCACAACCAACCAAAACCACGTACCACCACTACCACAACCACGTACCACCATATCACCAGCTCCACAACGACCACTGCCACCACCACCACCACAACCCAGCACCCACCACCACCACCACCACCAGCACCTGCACCACCACCACCACAAACCACTACACCACCACCACTAAAACCG